TTTGGTGCGCGATAATTTTTGCGACCCACCTTTAGCCCTAAACCCTAAATCCTAAACCCAAAGCCCTAAACTTTTAAACCCCTGCACCAGCCCTCCACCGAGATGACCTGAAGCTGCGCTGGCAGTTCACGACTCGATTTTCAACCAGTCGAATGGGTGTGTGAGACCAAGTTGCGTAACACCACGGATTGCATGCTCACATGCAGGGACTCTGCATGCCTCTGCCGTTGAGCCAACTAATCTGCACCTGATCCCACGAACTAGTGATCCGTTGACCAGGTGGCTCGCCATTGGAAGCCTCAGCGCACGGATTTTCCGAGCAGCTTGTCGCTGTAACTCCTCTAGCAGTAAGCGGGTAAGCCTCGCATGGCTTCAGGAAGCAAGCCGACGTGTTCCTTCATATGGCATGACGACATGCCACACAGGAGAAGCTGCTAGGACTCTCTGGTTCTTAGTAGGGAATGGGGGAATGGATCCCTATGATAGTCCCTTAAAGTCCCTTATAGTAGTCCCAATAACCCATTCCTCCATTCCCTACTAAGAACCATCCCTAAACCCTAAACCCCATAAACCCTAAACCCCATTCATTCCCTACTAAGAACCAGAGAGAGGATCATGCTCCTCGGGTTGTATCCCAGCTTCCGTGCTGTTGCCAGGAGCCCGCAGCCAGAGCTCCCGAAACCAAAGCATTTCGACAGGCCTGGGAACTTAGATATATAGATATATATAGAATATGTGATATTATATAATCTAATATAAGTATATACATATATTCCCCCACTGTTCTTGATGTTCGACAGGTTTAGGTCGCTGCTGCTCGATGCAGGATCAAGGAGCAAGAGCTCTTCTGCGTCTTCAAGAGCAGCTTGCAAGCACAGGGCCACTGTTTCTTGACCTGGTACAAAACAAGTTACGAGTGAGCCCTGTACTCTCTAAGCGATGAATTTCTCGTCTTAGGCAGTGTGCTGCATCAGCACAAAGTGACAGCAAGCAGCTCAGTTTGCAACGACTTTGCTGCCAGTTCGGTGTGGTGGTGTGAAGGTCGGTGATCTCGTGCAAATTGAAAAGCTTCACAGAAGAGAGGCTGGTGAGAAGGCTCCAGCTTCGCTTCCTTAGGACTTTAGGCAATTGCGCCTGTCAAGATGCCAGCTGCCTTACTTAGTCAAGCTGCCCGCAATTCAGTTTTCAGGTCGCAGAGGCACACTCCTGTCAAATGTTGGCCAGGTCGTTTTTGGGACTGTGCTGGTAGTTGGCTCGAAGGACGAAAAAACACGAGGAGTGTGTCCTTTTCGTCGAGCACATGCTATGCATCGCAGGACTTCACCATCCTCGGGAAGCCGACCGTGTTCTAGCCTTACGGACGAGACATGTTCTGACGATGATTTGCTTAACTAGGCTATATGACATAATACTATGCTACATTGTTACATGTTATACCACACTTGACGGTACGATGCTATATTGTACTATGCCATGCCATAGTATACTAGACTCCTACATTGACTTTACCATGTTATACCCTATCATATTCTGCATTATACTATGTCTTGCGACGTTACACCCTGTTTTAGGCACTCTTTGAAGGCATTTCAGCCCAGATGTCTTCTGAGGCCCTATGCGCAAGTGAAGGCGACCATCGAGCCTGATCCTGAGGAAGTCATGAGTTTGGGTGGTTGCATCACCCATGCAAATGTCTATGTATGTGTGCATGTAAAATATGTATGTTTACATGTATGTATCCTTATGTATACTTATTCGTTTCTATGTATATATATATGTATGCAAATACAAACATAGAACTAATATGTGTGTCTCTCTCTGTGTGTGTGTGTGTGGATGGGGCCGCTCTGACGAGCGGGGGATGGGGACCAAAGCCAAGTGTGTGCTTACATGTATACATGCATGCATAGATCATCTGCTCCCAAGCTCTAAACCCTAGACCCTAGACCCTAAACTCTAGACCCCAAGCTGTTTTCTGCTTCTTGGCAGCCTTCGTCTCCTGTCTTCCCTTGCTCTTCGGATGCCCTCGGCAGGCAACAGACTCTGACCAGAGAGATGTTGGCCTTCTGGCTCCTGGCTTACCAAGTACTTTGTAGGGGAAAAGATGCCTCCGAGTTGGCACTGTGCAGCTTCTGCCGTGCAACGTACTTTTCGGACTGTCCTCTGAAAGACCAGGTATAAGCCCCGGCGAAAGCAGTCCCACTTCTACCGTCGCAGGCATCGACATGCGGAGCAACTGTTGACTCCTTGATGCTTTTTGGCAGTCCCGCACCCTGGACTGCGTAGGCAGTGGGTGACCATGCTCCGCATCGATGAAATTGTGTTGATGCCAGAGGAGGACCCCCGAAAGGATGACCGAAGGAGCACTTCGATGACGGCAGCGTCATCCTGCTTTGCCAGGATCCCACAGACCCCCCGCCGCCCAAACCTGTGCGACTTCTCGACCTTTGGGCCAACAGGCCTTGCTTGGTTTCCTGTCGAGACCTAGTGGTATGCGAGCACTGAAGGTGGCTGGATCCTGCCGAAAAGGCAGGAATCGAGATGGTGAAAGGCAGCAGCCTCACTTGACGCGGATGAGTGTTCTTCAGCCTCGACGAGCGGTTTTTCTGCCAAGGTGAAGACGGCGCTCTCATTCCAAAGACTGCTTTAATATACGAGCCTTGGCGCAGATTCTAAGGCCGCAGTTGCCCCAACCCACTGCATCCTAAGCCCTATACACCATAATCGATTTAGGGTTTAGGGATACTATCCCTTGTGCGTTATCTGAGCCTGCTGCCCTTTTCAGTCCGAACTTACAACCCCAGGCCTTTAAACCCCCAAAGCTTTTGGATCCAATCCATTCCGCAGTTCTTAGACGCAAGCATCTTTCTCCCACTCACAACCCCGAAACTCTCACATGGCACTTAACAGACTCCCAAAATCCTCACCCAAACCTCAAGCCTAAAGCCTTGTCCTGAGGCCTAAACCCCAAGACCCTAAAAACCGTGAAAGCCCTGAACAATACAGACGCTAAAGCCCCAGCCCAAAATCCACAGAAGTTTAAACTCTAAGCGAGGATGGCTCTGAGCATCAGCCTGGAAGCTATCACCGGCTGCAGTCTCGGAAGCCGTTTCCTACTTCGGATGGGCAAAGGTTTTCTGTCCGGCATCCCCTTTAAGGGGTAGTATAGGGTTCCATAATAACCGTGGTGCCTTTCAACTATAGGGTTCGATAAATAGGGTCCCCTTTTCGGGCATACAGTAGGGGTTTCCCGCCCAAGAATGCTTTTCGGGGTATGGAGCGGTGCAAGCCTGTCCAGACCTCGTCCTTGCGTGCGCTTTCGGGCTAGCCCGTCAAGGCAACATCTCCTTGATTGAATGCTCTCCCCTAAACCCTAAACTCGATGATCCTCTTAACTTTTAGGCTTTTAGGGTTTAGGGTTGACGATTTTCCAAGTTCGAAGAGCGAGGCGTGGACTCACTTCCTGTTACCGGTACTGGCCGGATCCTGTGGCCCGGCATGTTTGTTGGTTCCCCAGTCACCGCCACTCGGTGGCGCAAGACTGCGCGGAGGCCTGACAGGTTTCAGTGTAGTCCAAAACCTTATGATGTCTCGCGCACTGTCTTCTCAGATCTTGATATCGAATCTCCCGATCCTACTATATCCTACTCATGGCGGCTGTGTGGACTTCACGAATTTTCAATCCGACTCAACCCTCACCGCCTTCCAAAGCACCTTGCAGCCCGCTGAGAGGCCTGGCTGCTTGTGCAAGAAAAATCTCAGCCCTTCATCTTACAGGCTGAGTGTAGAGGTATATTCCATGAAAGGCAGCCTTAGCCCTAGCCTACGTTCGTGCCGTGCGTCGTACATTGCTCTCATCAGCTACTGCCATCCCTGCTGCAAAACTGATGCCAGGCTGCTACGCATTGGATTCACAGGAAGACCTGACCCGTCCTGCGGAGATAACATCGCGAGTGCCCCTTGCTCTTGCTGGTTGAGGAAGCCCACTCACACTCCTCGTGGCTTCAAATTTGTGCATGCTGGCCCAAGCCGGCTCTGTCTGGTAGCCAATGGCCTTGTATTGTTAGTAGGATTATAGTATATATTGTTATGGTATATTATAGTATCTTATAGTATATTTAGTATTATTTGTAGTCAGATGGTTCTTGCATTGCAGTCAGACGGTCCACCGGGAAGCAGTGCGGAGGTACGGTTTTACAAGTCGGTTGCATGGCTTGTGTTCAAATTCTCGAAGAATATGCCCAGCCAGCCCAGCCTACGTCTTACGTGGTCCCTGCACGCCGCAAATCTCGCAGTCACCTTCCAGATGCCGTTGCGGCGACCCGTTCAGCGTCGGCATGATGGAGGAGGAGGTGCTTCTTGGGGCACCCTCTCTCTTGCCATCAGTTTCGGTCCCCGCGAAGCCCCGCAGGCTGCCGACATCCGTGCCAAAGAGCGGGAGATGGCTTCGATCAAAGCCCGACCCTTGCTCCTCTGAGCATTGCTCAAAATGCCAGCTTTCAGAGAGATGATCAGAGTTTTCTAGCTTCACACCTCTTGAATCTTCTCACCCGCCTCACCCTAAACCCCAAACCCCTAAACCCAAAAAACCCTAAACCCTAAGCCCCTAAACCCCTCAAGCCTAAAACAGGCAAGGATCTCGTCCCTGAGCGATGCGAAGAGACAGGCCAGCGCTGATGCCGCTGTCTAAAAATGGCAGTGGCAGTGCGAGCAATTTGGGGTTTTAGGGGTTTTAGGGGTTTAGGGAATGTAGGGTTTAGGCGTTTAGGGGTTTAGGGGTTTAGGGTTTAGGGGTTCAGGGTTTAGGGTTTAGGGGTTTAGGGTTTAGGGGTTTAGGGGCTTAGGGTTTAGGGATGCTTCAGGATGGAAGTCTAAGTAACCTCAGTTTTACCGTACCCCCTAAACCCAAGACTATGGGCGAAATGCAATGGCTCCCAAGAGTAACCGCATATAGTCCCCATATAAGTACTGCGTGTTATCTGTTACAATCCCACAAGAAAGCGTAGACCACACACCCCATTAAAAAAAAAAAACATGTGACACATGACTCATGTGACCCATCCTCTGATGACTAAGGCTCCTAAAACCCTGTACACTTAACTTCAAGATAACGCCCCAACCTCTCCATTACCATAAGTCCTTACGGCCCCAAACTCCACATATTTGTACACGCTAAAACACAGAGCCCTATATAATTCTACCACCTACACTAGAACAAGGGATAAGTGCAGTGCCGGGGTTCCAGCACACCCGCGTCGAATATACACCAAAACCCGCTTGAAATCGTTAAGGCCGCTAAGCAGCTAAACCCTATATAGTTTTATTGCAGCATACACCACCCGAAACCCTCTGTTACTGCTAATTCTAAAGGCCCTTAAACCCGATACAGTTTTGCTAGAACATACCGTCCCCGTGCGGAGGCGAGCTCGGCGGAAGAGCAGCTCAGTGAGGTCTTGCAGGAGGCCAGGAACCCAGGGAGGCTTTAGCCTTTAGGGTTTAGGGTCTAGGGGCTTTGGCTTTAGGGTTCGGGGTTTTAGGGTTTAGGGGCTTAGGCTTTAGGGTTTAGGGGTTTAGAGTTTAGGGTTTAGGGGCTTAGGCTTTATGGTTCAGGGTTTTGGGGCTTTAGAGTTTCGGGCTTAGGAAGCTGGTAAAGATGGTTTGGAAGTTTAGGGTTACGGAGGGTGTAGGTTTCAGGGTCTTAGGAGGGTTTTGGGCTTTAGGGTTCGGGGCTTGGGTTTCAGGGCATAGGCATCAACAAAAACTTGATAAGCATCAAAGAATTTGATAATTAAGCATCTAAACGAATTGAGAAACAGCTTTAAACATCCTAAACACTCCATGCATGTTTTTTCTTGATGCTTGTCATTTTTTTGATTGCTACTATCTAAAGCCTACACCTCCTAATCAGTTTTTTAGATGCTTATCAATTTTTTGTTGATGGCTGCCGTGGTAAATTTTTGATGCTTATCAACTTTTTTGATGCGCCACCCGGGTTTCAGAGTGTTGAAAGAACCTGATCAGGCTTGTTCTTGGGATCTGGGGATTTGGTAGTGTTCAGGGCTTTGGGGGTTAAGTTGAGCCTAGGTTTCGGATGAGCTCTGCAGAACAGGTCACTCGACTTCGCGAGCGTCTCGCACATGTTCAGCACGATCTCAAAAGCGCAGTGTCCCGCAAGCGGGGACCCCAGACGTTTAGGGATTCGGGTTTAGGGTTTGGGGATTAGGGTTTAGAGTTTAGGGTTTAGGGGGTAGGGTTTCCCTAAACCCTAAACTTGACCCTGAGTCCCTAAACCCTAAATCCGAGCTACCCCACCCTACCTGCCGGGCCTCCCTTGAGGAAGGATGCCGAGAAAGATATCACCGACCTCGAGATTGGGATGGTGGCCTTCAAGGACGGATGTTTTGGATGTTATGTACTACATATTGCACAGTCAATGTGTATATATATATATATACACCTACATATGTTGTATCATACAAGATAGGTTTCCTGAACGGATCCGTGCAAAGTGCACACCACGGCTGCAAGGAAACACTGCATTTGCGACAGCTCTCTGTCGCCGAGTTGCGCAGCAACAAAGACGAGGCCGTTCGTGAACGTGCGCCGGGGGGAGCAAGCCGACTTCCCTAAGCCCTAAACCCTAAAACCTAAATCCTAAACCCTAAACGTTATAATCCTAAACCCTAAATCCTAAAAATCCTAAACCCTAACCCCGCATATGACTCCTGGCCTCAGACGGAGCGGCAGCTGGCGCAAACCCTGCGGGAACGAGAGCTCTTTAGAGAGAGCGGGGACCTCGGGCTTGGGCCGATTTAGGGGTTTAGGGTATAGGGTTTAGGGGTTTAGGGTATAGGCTTTAGGGTTTTAGGGTATAATTAGGGTTTAGGGTTTTAGGGTGTAGGATGTTTTCAACGCAAAATCGACGACGGTAAGTATATTTCGACCCAGACATGGAACCTGTAGCTCCTTCTTCAGCTTTGCTTTTCTTTGACAGTGGATATCAATACATAGACCCTCAGACGAAGGGAGCGGCAGGGCCCTCCGACAGCCCATCGGAGCCTTCATAATTCAAGAGGGATTAATGTTTAGGGTTTAGGGTTTAGGGATTAATGTTTAGGGTTCAGGGTTTAGGGTTTGGATCTTCATTTTTGATTCCTTTACCGGGGCTTCAAAGGCAATGCTCTCACTTAATGGTCCTCCAAAAAGAACTGATGAAGAGCGCTCCGAATTTAGTCCCTTGCAGAAAGGCGATGTGCCTAGTCAAAGACTATTAAGAAAAAAAGAACTTAGCGCCGGAGGTAGCCCATTTGCTGTGAAAAGCTCCGGTGATCGTCTTTTCGATGGGCTTTTGGCGGCCTTCGAGGTTCCAGGTAAGAATGCAACACCATATCGGGAGGGGTTCGAACTAAAATCTACAGTTCCGTCGCCAGCTAGTGCGAATCATCCCTTAACCCTACAAACCCTAAACCCTAAACCCTATGAAGCCTTCCTCGTTGACAAGAAAGGATCAGCCACACTACATAGTTAAAAGGGACTCTCCAGGCTCCTTGGTCGTCCCGATACAAAGGCTCCTCACTCAATGGGGCCCTCGGCGAAAAGGGGCCCAGCCGAGAAGCGAGGAAAGGCATAAGGGTTCAAGGTTTGGGGTTTAAAGTGAAATGACCCAAAGGAGAAAAGGGACAATGCTGCGTCAGGAAGTGCGGCCTAGCATTTCTGCCCTGCTGTCGCCTCACGGCCGGACCGCCGAATCCCCACTGCCCCGCCCCTTTTCGCGTCCGCGCCACCCTTCCCTCTGCCACCTTTGCTTAACTTGAGACATTCGGAAGACGTGCAACGTTTTAGCTACAGCGTGCGCATGTTGCTGTCAGCGGTTCTGTCGCGATGCGTTTTCCCAGACTGAGGCGCAACGAAAGCCCAGCAAGGCTTCGACACCGAAGCGAAGTCAGCTTCTGCAGAACTCGACCGTTGGAGATCTGAGGCTCCTCTTAGATGCTGCTCTACCCATACGCCCCTAAGTAGTTCCTTTTTGGGATTACCTTATAGGGTTCCAAATATAAAACACCCTATGTAGCTATCCATAGGCCCCTAAGTAGTTCCTTTTTATGGTTTACATTTAGAATCCTATAAGGTAATCCCAAGAAGGAACTACTTAGGGGCCTATGGGTAGCTGCCTTGTCTCATGATGAGCATCAACGCGGTTGAGGCCCATGAGCTGGCCAGCGCCATCGAAGCCCTAGATGTGCAGAAAAAGGACGTCGCAGCAGTGCCTTCGAGGTGGAAGCCCGGAGCTGCCCTGCATAATGTGACAGGAGCTGCAAGAGAAGGCGTCCTCAGAGGAGTTTTTCCATGAGTTCGCTTTTGTACTGCCTTTTACATCGCTTTAAGGAACTTGCCTTACCCATAGGCTCCATAGTAGTTCCTTTTTGCGGTTTATAGTTAGGATCCTTTAAGGTAAACCCCAGAAGAAACTACTTTGGAGCCTATGGGTAAGCAGGACTCCGAAAAAGCTTTCGTCGCCAGTCTCCAGAAGGAACTGGACGAGGCCCTCTGCGCGCTGGATGCAAGTAATTTCGACCTGACGGTTAACACACACACACACACTCAGGGTTTAGGGTTTAGGGGTTCAGGGTTTAGGGTTTAGGGGTTTAGGGTTGAGGGTTTAGGGTTTAGGGGACTCTTGTGAGCTTGCGGAACTACCCTGAAGGCGATGGCAGCATATGCAGCCTTTGAGGTCAGCGGCGATCTAAGCTTCCTGACAGACTCTTGGGGACCCCTCTTCTCTTTATCGCCAGGAGCAGAACCGAAGCGACGACGTCAACCTGGCAGCTGCTGAAGCCCGGCAAAGAGATACCGAGACACGCCCTTTCCTTGGGCTTGGGCTTTTCTTCTCATGATTTTGGGCCATCTTCGACCTAAACGGCTAAACCGGGTGTTGTGCCAGCGGCCCAAGGCTTACGCGAAGCTGAGCAGGCAGCCAACGATCTTCGATCCGAGTTGCAGGAGGAGGGATCTAGCGACTGTCTGGACCCCTACTGCCTTTGGACCCGACACCGTCAGGAAGGGGAGGGTGCCAGGACTGCCACGGAGGCAGGCTTGCTGCAGGGCACCGTTAATGGAGAACAGCTACTTGTCGTTTCTGCTCAGGCAGTGAAGAGGGAGCTGGCCGTCCAAGTGTCCAAAGTGGCCCAGTTGGAGGCTCTCTGCATGAGCCTCGTTGACACCGGACACCGCAGCCGCTCTCGAGGGATCCCTCGGTGAGAATCGCAACCAGCTGAAGACCATCCAGCGTCACGTCGACTCCTTGACACATGCGACGGGCTTATCCCATCGCACCGTGCCAAGAACAACAATTTGCTTTCAAATGCGAGATGTGTTTCAGGATCTCCTGGACCGGACCGTCAAGAGCGCCGAAGACGAGGCATGTGAAAGTCCAGGTTAGCGCACTTAACAGATTCTGCGGGCTGCCCTGTTGCCTTCACCGGCTGGAGTGTCGAACGCTGAAACAAGACTGGCTTTGCAGCTGGGCCTGGCTTAGCAACTGCCCCATTTTTTGGTATGGGAAACCACATGCTCCTGCATCGCAGGAGGCTGTCACTTCCTTATCCAAGCAACTCCAGCAGGAGCAGCAGGCAATGCGTCTGACACGATGAGCAATGCAGCCCCCAAATCCCGCTTGTGCGGGACGAATTTGACAGGCACTGGAGCGATTGCAATCCGAAAAGGCCTGTTCCGAACTGCTGCAGCCGACTGCTTTGTAACTGTGTGGTGCCTTGGTGGAGTGACAGGAGAAGCTCGAGTCGGCGGCAGCTGAAGAACTGGAGAGGGCTGAGGCACGACAGGGATGGGACACGACCTCTACAGGCCCTGCAGTACCAGAGAAAATCACCACTGCAACACACTCCTGTTCAGGAGTGCCGACGCAGCAAGCAGGCTCTTGAGGAACAGCAGGCTCCCGCGTTGGTCGTGCTTGTATTGGCTTCCCCAAAGATGGCACGATGTGATGTGGCTGCCTGGCTTGGTGCAGATCCATGTCGAGCTGGTGCAGCGGTCAGACGTGCTGTCGACCACAAAAACTCAGGCTCTTTGAAGCATCAGAGGGGAAATAGGGATGCGATGCTTTGGATGATCCGATGTTGGACGGATGTCGCTTCGAGCTTCTTCGGGACTGTTGAGGCCACGACGGAGCTGACGAGTGCCGTGGCAGAGATTGCGCAACTGCAGCAGGCCAGGAGGTCCTATAAGCGTGGAATGCAAGGGGCCCTTCCTCGTGGCTGCACTTACGTACTTGATACTTTCCAGCGAAGATATCCATAAATGAGCAGGCGGCTTTGCATCTCCCTCTCTCTGCGGTTAGGTTCAAGCCATAGCCATGTGTTCGCTGGCGATGGCGTAAAGCCTAGAAGCATGTGCAAGGCACATGCTTTGCCTTTGCTTTGGCAAGGAATCCTCCTTCCTTTGGCCATTGCACACAGTGGTTCTGCCAAACCTGCTCATGTACATATTGCATACGATGGCAGTGCTTCCAGGGAGCGCCAGGAGTCTCAGCTCCTTCGCAGCAGAGGCTTGAAGCATGAGGGACCTGAAGAGGGCGATAAGTCGGAGGCGCAGCAGGCTGGCTGGTACATTGAGGATGAGGTGGAAAACACCATTGCGAAGGCTCAAAGCTTCGATTTCGACAAGAAGCGCGAGCAGATGCTCCGCCACATACACTACACAGCAGCGACCTCCCCCACTGGCAGAGGGCCTGGGGTAGCAAGGGACACCTGGCACATCTCTTCCCACGGTCCTCCCGTCACTGATGAGGCTGAGGGCCGGATCGTGGAAGACCAGCAACGTGCTGAAAAGGCAGGCTTACCGCCAGACTTCAAAAGTGTGCCGCCTGTGGCAGCTGTCATGAAGAAGCCTCCGGTCTCGGCCACACTTCCGCCTAACTTGCCAAAGGATTGCTTCAAGGCACGGCACAGCACCGATATCGGCGAGGATGAAACCTGCCCGGAAGCGTGTCCCCTCTTTGCCGAAGATACGATGGCCGGGAAGCACTGCGTCTTCAAATGCGTGTTGGAAACAGACTGTGGAGTCCACACCAGTGCGACCAACCTCGCCCAGTCTGTCCCGGACGCAGATGTTGGCTTCTGCCGGCGATGTTCCTCAGTTTGTAATACGCAACCTGTAGTTTGGGTGCTTGCAACTTCAACTTTCAGCGTGGTACTGACTACGTACTCGTGAAGTCTTGCCGCTTACTTGCCTTGCTGTGGGCTTGAAGAAGTAAGGTTCTGTTCCTGGATGCAGCCGCTGCAACCGGACGGCACACAGTGACGTCTGCGGAGAGTGCTTGTGCGGCTTCGCCTTGGAAGAAGGAGCATGTGTTTTCCAGCTTCCAATCGTAGGAACCTTGGTGCAAAGCATGGTCTACATTGCACTCTTTATTCCCGTGGTTTACTTCATCATTTGGTACGTGAGCTTGGCCACCCGCAAGAAAGTAAACCTGGACGAAGAGGCACAAGCCTTGCAGTTCCGGACGCAGACGAAGCTATGCACCGTCGACACCGTCACCGAAGACGCACCCGAGGAACGCCAGCTTTGGCCATTGAAGACCAACACACTTCAGGCGCACTGCCCAGTCTAGATACTAAGCTAAACTAAACTATACTCCGATATACTACGCTACACTCATTCCATAAACCAACAGACATGTCTGGGAATCCCGACATACAAAGAGCCGTCTCTCTGGGTGGGCTGGCTGGCACAACCACCGAAATGTTGTGGGGAAGTTCTTCTTTTGCAAAGAAGATAAGGAAGAAGGGCCTGGATGAGCCAAGGAAAGAACAACAGCAAGGAAGGAAGTATGAGAAGACGGATATTTGGAGAGAAGGACTTCATCACAACATCGACTCAGTCATAACAGCCCGTGGCCCCACTATTACCACTCCAAGTAAAGACACAATGGGCAGTGGAATCGTGCGAATCGAAATATACACCTTCTCCAGAATCATCCCAATTTTCATGAGATATTTCAACTAACCAGCAGTCACACGAATCACAGATACCTCCCTCGTGGACAAGAATGGCGGTGCTATCAGGACATTCACAACTACTGGTAGTACATCTGCACTATGAGCAGAGCCAGAGAAGATTCATCAAGCCAAAGCATTCAAGAAGGTGCAAACATGAGTGTTAAGTAGAACCATGAACCTACTCACAACGGTCATAGTAGCCACAGCTATCATGATATTCCCTATTCTTCGTAGCATGCAGAGCTGCTCACGAAATTTCCGCAGCACGGAACATCGATGGAAGAGCCACCAGTGTGGAACGAGCGTTCAGTTTGCCACGCAAAAGTCACGGCGGTCTGATTTGGAAAGTGTTGTTTCGCCAAGAGGATGCATAAACCAAAAGACCCAAACAAGACCGCGCCTCGTACCGAAGCGAAAAGGGGGGTTGCAGCGGGTTTGCGCGATGGTCGGTCTGGCTGTTGTAGTGCGACGTTCTGTTGGCCTGCAGTTCTTGTCCTGAACGCAGCAGTCTCGTAATCACCCAACTCCTTCCCCTCATCTACTGGCCTACTGGCAAACAGACAAGAGAGTACAATGAGCAGACGCGTCGTGAACAGTTCCCTTAAACCCATCAGCCCCGCCCCTAACTCGTGTATGTTCGCTGCCGAAAAACTCAAGGTGCCTGTTGCAGGGCCTGGCTCTGTCCTCTTCTTCCGCTACCAGGTCCTCAAGGGACGAACAAGACAGTTCAGGGTTTGGGTATTTAGGTTTAGAGGTACCTAAACCCCCGAAAGTAGGTACAAAAATGGCCCAAAACCTATGAAAGGCTGTTCTTCTACATACTTTTGCGGCCCAGGCAAGGGCCTTGAGGGACTTCACGTTTAGGTAGGTTTCTTGGCTCCCAAGGTGTTCATCATGATCTTGTCCTTGGTGCTGCTGGTCCTCTGGGTGCCTTGCCCCGGGCACGTTGAACTAGTTCCTAGAGGAGATGGGCCCCTAAGTAGTTCCTTTTATGGTTTATATTTTGAATCCTATAAACAAGGTAATCCCAAAAAAGGAACTACTTAGGTGCCTATGGGTAGTATAGTACACCTTTAGTCTACCATAAAATCCATAGTAGTCGGTTACAGTACAGTCTATTACAGCCTGTTACATTACCTTGTAGTATCTTGTAGTCAATTATTGTATAGTGTACGTCGTATAATATAGAAGTCTAGTATTGTACACGTTGGTGTCTGACTGACCGAGATGTCGAGACTCCTGAGGGCGCATTCTTGTCAAGAGGACCGGTGCATCGCGCTTTCAGCTAGGGTCTAGGGTCTATAGGGGTTTTTCGGGTTAGGGACCGTGCAAGGTCACCTTCCTGGGCTTGACTGGTTCGCAGCTATCTGCTTTGGGGACCGAAGATCCAAAGTCTCCGAGAGAGCTGTGCAATGTCATTCACCACGGCTTTGAAGCCCAGCAGACGTACATGTGGGCAAAGTCTTGCTTCGTGTTGGCGGCCTACGTGATCTCTGTGGTGCTTTGCATGCTCTTCGCTATTCATCAGAGGCGAACCTTCAACAGCAGCAGCCTCAGACTTTCACAGGCAGATCGAGAGCTGCTCGTTGTCGTCCATGTGTCTCCTTAGTAGACTCCGAGGATTGAATGTGTTCGCAACGCATGCAGACTTCGTTGCTCTCCTGGACGGCCTGCCAGCTATCAGTGGCTCCGAGGAGCTGGAGGACTTGCTTAAGAAGGAAATGGAAAAAGCCAGCTCTGAGGCGCCTCGCTGTCGAATGGACCAATCGCTCTCGAGGTTGTTTCCCATAGTCATAGTCATAGGTCATAGTCCGTCCCAGACCAAGGAAATTGTGGGGGTCTCCATAGGCTGGCATGTGGGCGATGACACCGAACGGTACAACGAGCAAATTTCCAAGATCCTTGAGGAGGATGTTCTGGCCTTGGAGAATCTCAAAGCTGAGCAGGACAAGGCAGGCGAGAAAGAGGCTGACGAGGTTCAGGTTTTTTCCAGGCAGCGGCCAAAGTGGTTAAGGATCTTCGACAGAGTGATTCTGACGGGCATGCTGGGCATCGACACTATACCACCACCGCCAGAAGAGCTGGCTGCGACTCAGGCTTCGCCGGCACAAGGGGACGGGACATCCGAGGCTCAAGGGGCGGAGAAGGAGAAGGATGCAACGGCCTCCTCTTCCGCCCAAGAGGTCGAGAAAGAGAAGGCTGCTACCGCCGGGAAGGCTTCAGAGACGGAGAAGGCGGACGCCAAGGTTTCGTCAGAGCCCCCTGAGGCTCTCTGCACCAAATTGCAAAGCTCTCCGACGGCTGTTGTAGTCTTCAGAACAGAGACCGCCCGGGACGCTGCTTTGGAGAAGTGCAAGAGCATTCCCTTCCGCGAAGCAACACTCACGCTCAAGCCCCTTGTGACAGAGCCCCTGGGCATCCTCTGGGAGAACATGAGCATCCCGAACAAACTGCGACGGGAGCGGCTTTTCGCAAGCATCAAAATGATCGTTCTCGCCGGTGCAGCTTGGGCCGTCTGCATCTACCTCCCCTATGCCTTCTATGCAGCGTCCTTCTCTTACTCAAACGGTGACAAGCCATCGGCGCTCATGAACATGTCCTTGGCGCTCATCGTGGTGCTGGGGAACCTGATCATGTACACGACTTGCGCAGAGGCAGCCAAGCGTATTGGCCACATGCTGCGAGACACCGAAGCGGGGGTTTACATGGTCGCCTGCCCAGCGGATACAAGCATTGCAGAACATGCAAGTATTGCAAGTGTCTACCGTGTGCCACAAATGTCTCCCTGTTGTCGTGCGAAGGTGCTTTACACCTTTGCGATTCTCTTCAACATTCTCTTAGATGCTGCTGTGGGTGGTTACATCGCATATCGAACAGCGGTGTCTCGAACGAGAAAAGTCAGCAGGCCAAACTGACACAGCAAACTGCCCTTTCATCTCCTCAGGTCGCCAATCACGCACGAACCTACGGTGGCGTCCTCGTCTCCGACCTCACACGTGCCCAGGCTCTCTTCGAGAGCTTCGAGATTCAGCTGCTTGGGTAGCAGTCGGAATTGCAAGTCACGTGGCTTACCGTTCCAGAAGCCGAGGCGACAGCTCGCCTTTCAAGTCTACAAGTATTGCTGGCCGTCTACCTTTCTGGTTCCCTTCATAGGAGCTGCGGAGGGAAGCCGTTTGTTTGCTGTCTTTGCACTGTTTTTTTGCAGGAAAATGCTTCAAATCAGACCTTCAGGAGAGGCTCTCTTCGCCAATTGCTTCACGCTTCATCTGGCACGCCTCGTTGTGAAAACGTTTCCACACATCAAGGGCTACAAAGCCCAGCAGGCCGAACATAGCCGATATGTTTGTCGGCATACCCCGTCTGGTGTCGCCAAGCTGCCCTGTCTCCATGCATGCTTCTGTCAGGCTTTACAAGTCTTTGTGCCCATGGACTCTGGACGGTATGCTGACGTGTTAATCAACATTGCTGCAGCAATTCTGATTTTCTTTCTGCCCGGTGGCTACACTATAACACTGTTCGTTGGCCTCATCCTGTCGCACGTGCGTCCCGGATGAGCACAGCAATGTCAGTCGTTTCGCTTGATCTACTTGTGATGCACCGGGTTTCAAGCACCCAGCGGTTTGCAAGATGTCCTGGCCTGGCTCAGATTCATCATCTGCTTCGATCACTTCCGAGTTCTGCGATGCGTCCCATCTTTCTGCTTCAGCAGCAGCTTGGCAACTTACTCCGACCAGATCCGTCGAAAAGGAAGCAATCCTAGGGGTCCCCCGCGGTCGATCGAAGATCCACATGCCGAAAACCCTAAACCCTGAACCCTAAACCCTTAGCCCTAAACCTGAACCCTAAACCCCCTAAACCCCCTAAACCCCCTAAACCCTAAACCCTAAGCCTTCATTCGGGGGTCCGAGAAAGCCAAGGCTCGGTGGTTGATGACTACGCCCAGCTACTCCTCATTCTTCCCTGCTCGCTCATGCTGGCAGCACCTTGGACTCGGAGTTCATGTGAGGCACATGGCGCTGGTGGGCTTAGAAGAACACTGCTCTCTCTGTGTCGGTAGGGCTTCGCCTGTCCGTCTCCGTCTCTTTCGCCGGGTTTTGGGTTTTTGGGGTTTTGGGACGTTTAGGGTTTAGGGCTCCGCGATCTGAGGCCTTCGTGCAGAAAGTCAACTGCTCAACCGAGAGCTTCTGCCTGCAGGCTCGCTGCAGTGACTCATACTACACGGCGGTTGAGGGTTTAGGGTTTAGGGTGTCGGTTTAGGGTTTAGGGGTTTAGCGTTTAGGGTTTCGGTTTAGGGTTTAGGGGTTTAGGGTTTAGGGTTGTTGATGATATAAATCCTTAGCAGTGCCTCAAGGGTCCGAAACTATGGGAATTATAGTTTATTCCTTATTATGGTTGATGCAGGATTTATATCATCAACCGTATGATGCGACTAAACAAATACCTGTGCTAATACTGTTTTCAGTTTCATATTATAGTTGACTGCGATTACGGATGCCTATACTTATACTAGAAATTCCATTATCATAGTACAAACGAAGGGCCCGGGGCCAGGATTCCGCCCTTGGCTTGACGCTGATGCTGAGCTTTGCTGCACATGGTACCTTGCACTGGTGCTCTGAAAGCATTGAGGAATCTTTTTGTTGGAGTGCTTTCAGACTGCTTTTGCTGAGGTGCATGTTGAAGAGTCTTGTCTGCAAGACTACTCTGCGTTAAGATCGCTTCTGTGGTCCAGACACTCGGCTTGCTGCAAGGTTCCTTGTGCCCAAGTTTGGGGATGTCAAGGAGCACGTGCCAACGAAGCTCACCTACCAAGAGGTGCCAAATTAAACTCCATTGCCACTTTGTGTCTGCCGAAGCCACTCTAGACCCTAAACCCTATGCAGTCACACCCTGTCTCAGGTGGCTTCCAAGATTGCTCCTTCTTGGTTCAACTTGAACCCAGCCTACTGCCTGCGCTCCAAGTACTTCTACAAGCATGAGAAGCCGTGTACCTTCTTCATCCAGGGCAGAGAGCATGTTCTTCGGAAAAGCGCCAGCCGCCTAGACTTAGGCCCCCGCTTTTCGTGCAGCAGAGTGTGACCCCCAGCACCGCATCCCGAAGTAAGAAGCCACTAACAAACTAGCTAGCAGAAGCAAGCCACATTCTCCGGTCGCCCGTGGCTCAGGATCAGGCCATGTCATTTTTCGAGGATCAGCGGCCTGTTGCCAAAGAGGATTACACGAAATGGAAACCAGCGTAATGTTTGGCACATGAGTTGCAAGCGCTGAGAGAGATGCCATGCTGGCGGTATCTGGTTCGGTGGAACCTGATGGCACGGACACCACCAGAACACTTCAGACATGATTTCTGAAGCGGACGCCAGAGACGACCATGCGCCGTATGCCAAAAGTAATGCTCAACTGGCACCAGTCCGCAAGCGGATTGTAGGCTGAGCTAGAGGCGCCTGTTCCGTTAGCAGGCTCAGCAGCAACTCGACGAAGAAGTTGCTCGCTCCTGAGGACAGAACTCGAATCCTCTCACTTGCAAACCTCTGCTCCGCAGAGGCAGAAGTGGACTTGGCAGCTCACGATGTTGAGCGTCTGCCTGGCATGTGTGAGCTTACAGTGGATTTGGGAGTTACTGAAGACAGAGGTCCCTCATAGACCCAAAATAGCAGGACGTACTACCGGCCCCCGTAAGGAAGATAGACGAAAATACTCCCGCTGAAAGAAGGTTCGCGGCAAGAGGCCAAGCAGAAGATTGAAAGGACACAAGCTGCACTTGAGGCGCAAATCACGTTTAGGGCTTCAGGTGAGGGTTCCAATTTAAGATTTAGGTATGTTTAGGTTTAGGGTTTATGGTTTTAAACCATTGGCAGAGATTTAACTCGTCAGTCTTCTATGATGGTGCCAACCCTTCCATGTGCTCATCTGGAGGCTCAGAGCAAGAAAAAGTCTTTGCGCATGGAGGCCAGGTCGCTTCTTGCGAAAATAACCTGGAGCAGTCGGATCGTTCGATGGCGACGACGACTACTACTACTACTACTACTACTACTTCAGTAGTCGTAGTGGTAGTGGCAGCGGTAGTGGTAGTGGTCGCAGCCGCCACTACCACTCCTCCTCCTCATGCTGTTTCTGCCACTACCCCCTACCCCTAAACCCTAAACCCTGTGGACCCCTAAACCCCTCAACCCCCAAACCCCTAAACCCCTAAACCCTACTCTTCCTCTTCCTAGCAGTAATTACTCTTTCCAAAAGTCTCCGCAGGCCCTGGAGACCAAGAGCCGACACTTGGCCTCTTTGGAGGAGGAGAGGAAAGGGGCTTTGGAGGGAGGACAGTACCTGGGTGTAGGGCTTTTTGGGTTTTTGGGCTTTGGGGTTTAGGGCTTAGGGGTTTCGGGTTTAGGGGTTTAAGCCTGCACCACAACTCGGCGCCCAGACTGCTCAGGGCCCTTTTTCGGGGGTTGCCTATTGAACTCCAAACAAAACCTAAGCCCTGCCTTTGGGAGCTTGGTAGTGTTTTCGGGAGGAGTTACATGGGTAATTCTCTAAATTAGGGTCCTTTTATAAGGCTGCCGTACCTTTTTTACCTAAAACGGTCCCTGAACCCTAAACCCTAAACCCTAGTTTAGAGAACCACCCACCTCCTGCATTACCCATAGTAAGGAATATACCATAATTTCCATCGTTTAGGGTCCTTAGGGTAATGCCAAGGATTTATATCATCAACAGTACCCACATTGCAGCAGTTTGGGGACCTAAAAGAGGACCTTAAATACCTTAAACCTTAAACCCTAAACCCTAAACCCAAACCCTAAACCCTAAACCCTAAACCCCATACCCTAAACCCTCAACCCTCAACCCTAGTTTAGAGAACTTCCCACATGGAAGCAGTTCTAAGGCTTCCTTGCTTCGGTGCGCAGGAGCTGAGTCGAAGGCGGCAGGAGGTGCAGAGCTGGGGCCTCAAAAAAGCGCAGGGCAAGGGGTTTAGGGGTTTAGGGGTTTAGGGGTTTAGGGTTCAGGGTTTAGGGTTGAGGGTTGTGGCTTAGGGGAATATATTTTGGGGTTTACTGTGTTTTGGGGTTTGGGGTTGAAGGTATCGGGAGTAGGTTTTGGTTTAGGAGTTAACTGATTGTGTGGATTTAGGGATCAGGGAGTAGGAAGTATAGGTTTGGGAGTTGTGTTGGGTGAGCATCAGGCTTCAATTCAATGTTGGGTTTTGGGGGCTGATGCTGTAGAGGTTGTGGAAGATGCGGCGACTGGACAGGTGCATCTGCAGCCGCTCTGAAGCTTCGTGCTTCTGCTGCCAGGCTTGGTTCGGGAAGTTCAGGTCTTGGGTGCTTTTTTTAGGCAGATTGAGGTGAACCATTGAACTTCTCAGCAGCTAGTCTCTCAAAAAGTCCCTGTGGCCTCCAATCACTTCATCCACACACCAGATGCTGCAACCCTAAACCCTGAACCCCTAAGCCCTAAACCCTAGCTGTCCGTGCCAGGACCGCCATGGAAAGCGAGATGAAGGTCGGCTCTAGAGAGCACCGCTCGGAATTCTTCGGGGTTTCTGTGGCAGATGCCTTGGAGGAGGAAGCGCTCCTTCAGCGCTTTGTGCAGCTGAAGTCCGAGCTTGAAGAGCATCAGGAAGTGCGAGGGCCTTGGAAGCATCGAGTGCTCCAAGGCAAGGGAGTGAGGAGTGACTTTTCGCCTTGAGATCGAAGCAGCAACATGAGGAGCAGAAGGCTCCAAGATTTCGACAGACCGAGTCTTTTTCTTGCTGATGCTGCTGTGCGAGGCAGTGCTAGAGAAGCTCGCAGAGGCGCAGAAGAAGGCACCCCAGAAGCAGGCCCCCATGACACCAAAATAGAATCATGCATGCATGATATTATGGTGAGAAATCATGCATTGCGACATCGTGATACTGACCTGGCTCTAAAGGTCCAGGCTCGGCTGGCTCGGGAAAAGAAAGATGAGCTGGAGCAGAAGCTTGGTCGAATTCCTACATGGGCAGTTTAGAGAAGTTAGGGTCCCTTTTAGGGTCCTTTTTATCAGGGGTCCCAATTTGAGAGAACTGCCCACATGTCTCAGCCCAGCCGAAGGAAGGATGCTAATCCTTGGGAAGCCTTATGAAGGAGCCCTTAGATCCTAAACCCTAAGCCCTAACCCCTAAACCTCAAACCCCTAAGACAGTAAACTCCCAAACCCAAGCCCCTAAATCCCTAAACCCCTCAACCTCTTCACTTAAGCCCAGGATGCTTCTGGACCTCCGATCATCCTTGGATGCTGCCAAGTCGACGGCGAAGGGCGAGGTCGGCAGGGCGAAGTAGCAAAGCCCCTAAGCCCTTTAACCCACAGAGGGCTATAAGGGAATCCTCAGCCCTATTACTAAACCCGAAAGGGTGACAGGAAATCCTGGCCCTAAAACCTACAAGGACTACAGAGGAATATTCGTACTTAATCTCATTCCGGCCATGATAGTTATCTAAGCAGGGTCGCGTTTACGAAGGCTCCTGTCTTCGTGTCTGCTCCAGGCGCGGAAGACACGTCAGGCCGAAGAGCAGATCGACCGGCAGCGCCAGGACGCTCTTGGCACGCGACGATTGTTTTATTTTCAGGTTCCTTTCAACGAAACTCTAAACCCTAAACCTTATTTTCAGGTTCCTTTCAACGCTCGCATTAAGTATGGAGGGTTCTATAAGGGTTCCTGCATAGTTCCGACGTACATAGGTTGCCGATTCCCATGCCTTGCCGGCCAGGGATCCGTTTTCGAGAGTCTTTAAGCAGATGGCCACGCCATCTATAGGGAATAAGAAGCCGCAGCGTGGAAGCCAGCAACTAGGTGCTTATGTGCCAGGGGTTGATGGGGGCAGAGCCGTTCCTGGCATCTCTGGGGTTGTGGGAGACGGCTTCGACGGTTTAGGGTTTAGGGCCGTTTAGAGTTCAGGGTTTAGGGTTTAGGGCCGTTTAGAGTTCAGGGTTTAGGGTTTAGGGCCGTTTAGGGTTCAGGGCTTAGGGTTCTGCTCTCTGTTCTGCCAGGAGCTGGAGGCTTTGCTGGCTGATGCAGCTCAACAGGACAACACAGGGATAGTGAACATCTGTATGTACACTACGGTCTGCTAGAATATACGATGGTATAGTACAATATACAAGTTTGTGCCAGAATTTACGATCGCGTAGTACAACATACTATGCTGTTGTTGGCTTGATCGTGCAATCGGCTCCTCAGGAAGTGCTGGCGGAGGCACTGAAAAGCACGCTGAGCGAACAAAAGGCCGAGCATGAAAAGTTCATGAAGGCCCAGCTGGTGAAGTAATAGTAATTAATAGTACATTGTAAGTATAATGCGTGGTAGTATATTATTCTAGTATGTTGTAGTATCTTATCGCATGTTGTCGTATACACAGTATATGGTAGATGATAGAACACTTGCAGTACGAAACAGATGTTCACTGTGCCAGCCGCTCGCCAGGCGCACCATAGCCGAGCATCGACATCCAAAGATGCAGAACTAAAGGCCTTCCCTGGTTTGGTCTCCCTCGGATGCACTGCTTGGGGTTTGCAGTTGCAGCAGCCCTGCAGGTGGCAGAACAGGTCCGTTCCCAAGAAATGTATCAGAAGCAGGCGGTCTAAACTCGTTGTTGAGGTGAATGAGCAAAATGCGACGTGCGCATGGCTGCGCAAGTCGACGTTCTCACCGTGCTGTAGCAAGATGCAAGTCCAGGAGTCAAAACAGACACACCCAATTCCCGCTATTCCAAGGAGCGTCGGTTAGCAAGCACCGTTCACAGCCGGCCTCAAGCGAAACACTTCCGGCGCATGGAATTTCAAACTCTCCCTGCAAGGCCCCTGCACAGCCCTACCAAACCTAAACTTCCCCCAAAACTCTAAAGCCCCACAGCCCCAAAACCCAAAATACCCCAAATACCCAAAACCCAAAATACCCCAAATACCCAAAACCCAAAATACCCCAAATGGCCCAAATACCCAAAGCCCAAAATACCCCCAAACCCCCCCCAACGCCCCAGGTCAGCGAGCTGCGGGTGCGACGCGCAGAGCTCGCGCTGAAGCAGGAGGCCCTCTAGTCTAGGTAGGCCTTTGGGATATTCTATATTTTCCCTTATTGGGCTTAAGAGGATCCTATCTACTAATATTTTTCAGAGGCTTTAAAGGGCCAACCAGTAATATCAGGGACGAAAGAAGCATGGGTTTAGGATTTTGGGGTTTCTGAAATGAAGTGCCTCTTCTTCCAGCTTTGGCATCGAGCATACTGTGAAGCCCGAATGAGGCAGCCCGCAGGGGATGTGGTTAGAATTATGGTGATGAGTTATGTGTTGTTCAAACCTTGTAATGGTCGGTGTGGAAGGTGGTACGTCGTCTCGGTGTCTTGCTCGGATTTCCCCCCCACCAGCTGCTCTGCTTCAGGCTGTCGCAGCCGCTTGCAGTGTGGAGAAGGACGGCAGCCTGTGGAGGCGCACGTTCTCCCTCGCTCGCCGGGTTCTCGCGCGCAGGAGCGTCTGGCAGAGCTACGCCGGGAGTTCGAAAAGGAAGGGTTGCCTCTTGCTTCAGGCGTGCATGGTAGATGATGCATGAGAGACGCAGGTGCGTGCTGGGAGCCTTCAGAAAATCGAGGATGCCAAGAAAGAGCTGCAACAGGACGTGCCCGTGAGGTCGACTTAGATTTCGCAGCGGCGCCATCGAGAGTTCTAGAAACCAGAGAGGGTCAGTGGTGACAGGATGCCATGGCCAAGGATCTACAAGCCCATGCCTCGGGTAGGTGTGCTTTCGGACCTTTGCCACAGCGGCGACACTGGAGGTTACATTGCATGGTAAATTGCGGCTCGTGGGCTGCAGGCATTGAAGACCCACGAAGCCGAAGCTGCATCTTTACTGCAGAAAATAGAGGAGCCGCGGACGCAACAAACCATACATGGTTACAAGGTTAAACGGAGCAAATTGCGTGCAGTGTTGGGGGCCGCATCTTGCAGGGGATGAAAACCAAGCAGCAGGAGCTTCTGAGGAAGGCTCGACAGAGCCTCAACGCCCGAAGCCACCAGCGATCAGATTCAGTGCTGGCACTTCCACAGGTTGAAAGTGGCAAGGCAGACCTGCCTGACGCTGACGGCGGTGTTGCCCCCAGCTGGATGCAAGGCTTCTCTGCAATCGTAGCCGGCTGGGTTTTGGTTTTTCACTGTGATAGACTGCAGTGGAACTTCAACCCTCGAAGGAGCCCGTATTGAATCGTATTTCGGACAACTCTCGCTTGCTGCATGCGCTTGAGAGCCTGAGGCGACAAGCACACCGAGGCCAGTACTCCCCGAAGGCATGCTGTAGGCTGCAGGCCGGAGTGACACTCGCGCCGACAGGATGCCGAAAGCAGGAAGTCGCAGCTTCTCAAGGACTCTCGAATGGCAGGGAGTTTGGGGCAACGATGCTTGGAATTTGACTGGGATGGAAACCCCAAGCTGGGAGCATCGTGTAGAGTTGCTTCAAGAAGCAAGAGGTGTGGCCCAGATCTGCACTGATTCGACGTCGAACAGGAGCTCTTGTCGCAGAGAGCAGCTTCTCTTCAAGAGGACCGCATGCTTTTCGAAACTGGTTTTTAGGGTTTTGTTGGCTTCCGAAAGCTTCGGCTTCGGCCGTGCCCGTTGCTTCTGATGTGTGAGAAGGCCTCGAAGGAAAGCCGCGAGGCTGAGATGAAGTACGAGGCGACGCCGCAAAACCGTTCTTTGGAACCTGACGTGAACGTGATTTGAGGCGAATAGTTTCGGTTGAAGCAGCCGTTCTTGTGCGGAGGCTTTGCAGAAAGATCAGAAACATCTTCAGGCATTCCTCTTTGCCCAACTCCAGTCTTCAACATAAAAGCCGTGGCAAGGAGGAGTATCGGTCTGTGATGGAGCAGATGAAATCGCAGGCCCTTTCCGGCGCAAGGGAGCAAGTGCAAGTGACAGCTTCGAAAGACTTCCAGAAACCCTAAACCCTAAACCGTGAAAGACTTCCAGAAGCCAGGTCAGTCAGGGGAATGAGCTCTACTCCAAGTTGCAAGAAGTCGAGCAGGACGTACGTGTACTACCGTGCTTACTAGGGTTAGGGTTTAGGGTTTAAAGTGCCTTAAAGAGCACAGCCCAGTCCAGCTCAGTCGTCAGGACATACGGACGCTTGAAGATGAATCTGACCTCCTCGCCTTAGGTTTGCACGAGGCGGGTTTAGGGTTTAGGGGTTTAGGGTTTGGGGTTTAGGCCCTGAAGCCCTGACCTGCTTCAGACTCTAGAGTAGAAGCCAGAAAGTTGGAAGCATGGGGTTTAGGAGGATTCGTGCTAGGATCGCTTCTGCTTTACCTTCGGGGCATGAGGAGAATCATGTTCCCAACAATCTGGCTGCTAGGCTTCTACTATAGTCCCTAAGCCCTAACTCCTAAATCCTAAACCCTAAACCCTGAGCCCGAGATTTGTTTACGAGACCTCGTGGAAGAGGGATGGCCTGGCACCCCTGAAGCACTCACTGGTGCAGCTCAAACTCTCCAGAGCTTCTTTTTGGGGTTTAGGGTTTAAGGCTTAGGGTTTAAGGTTTAGGGTTTAAGGTTTAGGGTAGAAGTTATAAAGGTTTAGTCCGAGCTTCTTTTGTAAGTTGTAGTCATTGCACTGTTGCCGAAGCCCTTTCACACTGCCAGGCAGAGAGTCAGAAGGTCAACCTGGAGAAGGAGACTTCCCACTGCATGCGACCCGTTGAAGCCAGGTCTGACAGTCCTGAGAAACTGAGGTGTGCCGACTCAGGCTTACCCATAGGCTCCTAAGTAGTTCCTTTTTATGGTTCATATTTAGAATCCTATAAGGTAATCCCCAAAAGGAACTATTAAGGAGCCTATGGGTACAGACCCCCAGACTCCCATCAAGCACAAGTCGTTTCGAATCTGGCCTGTCTTTGGGAGCTTTCAGACCTCGATAAATCAAAGACTGGGAAGGAGGAGGCATCTTTCCCTGTCAAAGGCATGGCTTCTATACGGTAACCTTAGTGGACTCAACTACTGGATGCTTTTCAGGTTCTGACTCCGAATTGCAGGGACAGGTTTGCCAGGGTGGAGCTCGTGGGCTTCTGCTGTGTCCCTTGCAGGAGATTGTTTTGGTGCAGCAGCAAGCAATGGGGCAGTTCAGTGGAGATTTGCAAGCTTGGGCGAAAGAGGCAGGATTTTGCAAGCAGATGCATGTCAGAGGGCGTGTCATGGTGCGCCGCTGTGGCAGGTACAGTCCTTGAGGGTGACCGCCAAAGTGCAGTCGCATGAGGCCAGATGCCAGATGTGATTTGGGTAGTTCTCTACAGTAGCATGCCGTTTCTAGACCCCCAAAATAGTACGGCACCGTCCAGAAAAAGGACCCTAAAAGGGACCCTAATTTGAAGAACTACCCATTTAAATTTAGAAGCACGGTCCCTGATGTAAAGATGTCGCTACAGTACCCGCTACAGGATGAGCTGCTGCACTGGAAGCAGACGGCCGCAAGCTCAATTCGATTAGTCTTTCAGCGGTTTAGGGTTTAGGGCGTAGGGTACCCTAAACATATAGAGGAGCCTTTTGATATTTTCTAAAAAAACCCTAAACCCCTGAGCCCTGAAGCCCTAAACCGCATGCTCTCTGAGGCAAGTGAGAGCCCGGCCATCGCCTCGCAACTTCAAGTTCAGGCGGCAGAGGGGCTCCTCCGGCAGAAAGCATCTACTCTACAGGCCGGGCAGCCTTTCTACAAGGGCGCTAAACCCTACCTAAACCCTTTGTCTAAATTGGGTCCTAAGTATTAGAGCGAGGTACTCTTTGGACACCAGGCTGCTGCGAGCAGGCACTGTGAGATTCTGCAAGTGACAGGATCAGCTGGCCTCCAAGGAGACGCTGTTGCAAGAACTCGAACAGCAAGCACAGTCAGAGGACGGTGCCTTTTTTAAGCTCCAGGCTTTTGTCTGTTTCGGTTTTTTTTGGCTGACTTGAGGAAGTTGCTGGCAGCATCCGTTCGGTGCCCTCCGCTCTGCACGGTTCTCTCACCATGGGTCCCACGCTGCCCTGCCCCCAGCCTCTCAGATCAACTCCCGAGCTCCAAAGCACCTCCTGCGAGACCCACGGAGAACCTAAACCCCTCATGTAGGACACCTGCTTAAGAAACCCTGGCTCTATTTGTTAAGGGCTCTTTTATATTATATGAATCCTACTAGTTTTGGGTTACAGGGCCAGGGTTTCTTAATTAGGCTCCTGATGGCGGCTGCATTAAACTTAAAACCCTACCAAAAGTCTCCATTGTAGTTCCTTTTTGGGGTTACCTCCTAGGATCCTTAACACAAAACTGATTAAACCAAAAAAGGAACTACAATGGAGACTACAGGTAAACCCCGAGACCCATCTTTGGGGGCCCAAGGTCTGTGAAAGCCGCGGCGCAGCGGCGCGCCCTGGTCATAGGCCAGCTTGGAGATTCCGGGCAAACTCCGCGGAAGCCGTTTCAGCGTGAAATCCTGAAGCCCCAGACTTCTTATTACTATTGTTATTATTACTATTATTACTATTATTTTTGTTATTATTGTTATTATTACTATTATTACTATTATTATTGATATTATTGTTATTATTACTATTATTACTATTATTACTATTATTATTGCTTTTTGTTATTATTACTATTATTACTATTATTATTGTTATTATTGTTCTTATTGCTATTATTACTATTATTATTGTTATTGTGGTTATTGTTACTATTATTACTATTATTATTGTTATTATTATCTTCTTTCTCTTGCGAATCGCCAAGTAAGGCCTCAAGGTAAGGGCTGCAGCGGCCTCGATCCAAGCCACGCCGGAGGCTGCAACTACACCGGATCCTTTGCCCCACTGCACGGATGTGCCAATGATGCCTGGAATGTCCAGTGCTTGTTGCGGCAGTTCCGCACTCAGAAGTTTCCTAGCAGGCCGAAATCTCACGCACGATCAACAGCCATGTCCGAGAGGTCCTTGCAATACACCGAGGCTCAGGCCGGCTGTGGTGTCTTGCACCCCTCCGTGGTTGTACGGTTTGCTCAGTGCAGGTCCGATGCTTAGTTGACTATGCCGAGTCGTCTTCAACGCCTAGCCATCGACGGCCCACAAGGTGCTCTTTTTCAGGCAGTCGCAGTTACAAAATACGTGATGGCATGTGTCCAGGGACAACATCATTGCAGAGCTGCAGTGGCTTACCGGCAACGCCAAACAGGGAGCGCGCTACCCAGGGCTGCCATGAGAAGAGTCGCAGTCAACGCACCTGTTCTCAAGGGACTAAAGGGGAGTCCCTTTAACCTTGGGGTTATATAGGGGCTTTATGAGACTTTTTAAGGGGTCTATAAGGGTTATCTAGGGTATTAGGATTAGGGGTCCCTTCTAGGGGTCCCTCCCATTGTCCCTTAATGTCCCTTATGCCGCTCCCCGACCCTGCTCTGCTTGTCGAGCTTCTTCAGCCTTTGAGGCAGGAACTGGGTTTCAAGCCAACACCTCTCTGGCCATTCTCATGTTCTCCATTACGTTCCCCCAAAGCAGCAGCTGACACATTATATGTTTTATAATGGATGTTATATCGTATCACATTTCATTTTGACAGGAGATGGCAAATGATTTGACTCTATATCATATGATCCTCGACAGATGAGCTCTTGCGATGAAAACACTGCTGCATGGGGCAATTCTGTTTATGAGACCGAGCACCGGAGATTTCAACACAGAAGAATTACTGCCGTTTTCAAGAAGCAGAGCAAGTCAGGAGTCAGGACACTGCACAACGCAGAGACACAGAGCCTAAATCGGGTGCAAGACCAGGAATTTAAGCTCCAGACCGGAAAGGACTACGGACCACGCCTTGAAACACCGATGTTTGAATTGATTTCTGTCACTCTTCTCTCTGCCCTCTTGTACCGTTTCAAAACTCGGTCATGTCAATCTTGGAGGAGTGGGGTCAAATTGGTCTTCACACTCTGCTTGAAGTGTTGACGCAAAGCTTTGAAGGTCTGAGTCGGTCTTTTGCGAATCTGCGGCTCTCTGCCCTCTTGAAGCTCTCTGATCTGTTTCGAGAAAGTCTCAACCACTCAGAGGAAGAATTTTCTTTGCCCCGGGCCTGATCACCCAAACGGGTGATGATTGCGAAGCTCGGAGGTGCAAGCCTGTTCCGGTCGTTCTGCAAGGATGTTAGGTTACGTATGAGGCTGACGTCAGCAAAAGACCATACAGGCAATGCGAATTCCTGGAGACATGGAATCGAAGTTCTGACTTAGGACAATGTGCTCTTGTACTTCAGCGGGTATGGCGCGCAGCAGCCGGACGCTGAAGTAGACGGTTTATACCAGGCCTGCTGTTTCGCATTTGGGTGCGGACAGTATCCTGAGCTTGCTGCGGCTTTCAGCGCTGGGGTTGGGTTGTCGCTGCAGGGCTATTTGGTTCCTGCGGACTTTGCAGACGATCTGCCGGAGGACCTCATTCCGGAATCTCAGCCAATGCTATCTACGTTGCACGGCTCTTCACATTGCGACATGACCAGGACATCACCAGTGAGGTTGAGCGCTGCTGCAAGACGGAAGCTGGGCTGGGCAACATATGTCACTTAATGTAACAGAGCGGAATCTTAAATACTGGTATCAATATAAGAACTTCGGTGTGAGTATATGTATATTTATATATGTATACACATGTATCTCTCTCTATATATATATATAGATATAGATATAGATATCCAACTTTAGATGTTAGATTTAGGATCTGTTCAAAGCCCTGGGGACTTCCAGCTAAGGGCTCCGAGCTGTCACCGGAGATGGCTCAAAGAGCAGCCGACGCGGGGGGCTATCGTTGGCCCCTGAGCGTCCTCCGCCCCTTTTTCTGACTCAGCACTCTTGGTATACTATACTATACCGTACAAAACTACACTAGACTAGACTGTCTTGTATACTACTTCAGCATCCTACACACACACATATATATATAGTATACTCTACCATGTTATACTAGAATATACTGTGCTATACCATGCTATGGTGCATTATAGTGTACTGTGGTCTGTTTGTATCTTGCTACAAATAGTATCAGAGTATGATGATATGACTGCATACGGAGGTCTGGTGCCCATGTCGCTGATCACCTCGGCCTTGCACGCGCTGTCATCGAGCTGCAAGGCAGTAGCTGGAGCGGACTGAAAGGATGAGCTCGGAACTTGTTGCTGTCAGGCCACAGTGATCTTCGACTGCTGCCAGTCCTCGGTGCTTCCGCTCCTCCGTCCATCAGATCACGTGGGTCAGGGTGTGGCTCCCGGTCCCGGGTCGAAGCCTCAAGTGGTAAATTGACGTGCGTGGCTGCGCATCTCAATCTGACGCATTTTCACCCGGAGGCCTCCTCGCTTCAAGAAGCTCAAGCCGCCGAGCGAGCAGGCGACGGCGCAGGTGAAAGCGGACCGGAGGCTTTAGTGGCAAGTCGCCGCAAGGTTGCACCTCCAATCTCCGACATGTCCCGACAGCGATTGCCTTGGCCCCAGCGCCATGCAAGAGTTGACGTGGCCACGGCCCTTCCTTGTTTGCTGTCGCCTTCCCGATGCCTTGAGGTTGGGACTTCCAGCCTTGAGCCAGAGCTCGCCCTGGCCCTACCACAGAAAGCTAGCATACTTCAGTATATTATCCTATAGCATCTCATACTGTAGCATGTTATACTATACCATAGTATAAAGATTCTTCTGTTATATTATGTTATACCTATACTTGCTCATCCGCCTCGAAAGCGGCATTGTTCCAAGAGCTGCTCCAGGCATCCAGTCACTTCTCCCTCTTCCATGAAGGAGGACCCCTTAATTAAGGAATATTACCTTAAATTATAGGGGCCTTAAAGGGATCTATAAGGGGTCTCTATAAGGGTTCTATAAGGGATTTAAGGAATATGCCTTAAATTATAGGGGCCTTAACATTATGATTTAGGGTATATTCCTTAATTAAGGGGGTATTGGGTTCTCTGGGGAGGAGTCGCTGGCTTCACCCGCAGGGTCTCCTGCCGGCATCCTCAAGGCCAGCGGACACTTGGGTTGCATGTGGCCGAATTATATGGGAGTTGCCGAAAATAAGGGGTACCTTATTTTGGGGTCCTTATATAAGGATCCTACAATTTAGGGTACTATATTAGGGTCCCCTACAATCGGAAACCCCCATATGGTACACTTGGCACAGTACACTTTAGTACGCATAGTCTAGTACTGGTGCAGACTAGTCTGACCTAGCCTAGTACAGCATAGCATCATAGCATAGCATCGTATGTTCACGAACATCAGGCTCGCACCGCAGGCACATGTTCTCTCCGGTGGCCAAGGCAAGAACGCACCCCGCCAACGTTGACGGGGTACACAAGTAAACTGCAGAAGTCGTTCAAAACTGTTCGCAGTGAGTAACCGAAAGCCAAAAGCCCAGAATGAGAGAGGGGTTGAACACATCACTCACTGAATGAACATCGCCGACCAAATGACCAACGTGGACGTCGTAGAACGGAGAGTTGGAGTGATGAGGCCTCTGAGCCTCATGTGGAGATGAGGCCCAAAGTCAATGCAGCCATCAAGTGGGCGGGGGGGGGGGGGGGGGGNNGTGGACCTTAACTTCAGCTTCGAAGGCCAATGACAACGCATACGACTGCTAGAGGGCAGGAAGGCATGATGTCACATATTGGAGTCCTCTACACGTGTCGGTGTCCGCGTTTTCGCTTCAGTTTATGGCCGGGCCAAGAGTTTCCGCTATCCTTCCTCTCACTTCTTCCTTCAGCATTGCGATGGTTGCCAGGTGCCGCCAGGAAGTGCCATGGAAGCAGCGGGCCCGGCTGCACCTGGCATGCCTGGGGATGCCTGAACGTGAAGGGTTTGTCCATGTTTGCCCACTCGGCCGAGGCCACTCAACGTCCTGTAAGTTCTCGAGGTGGGCCTTCCTGCAGGTGCTATTGCTTTGCGGCCTGTCAGAACGACCAGGCGCGCCTTTTTGTTAAAGTGTCTACTGCAACTGCAACGTTTTTCGGGGGATCTTGCCAGAGGCATGCTGTGAGCTGCCGATCGAAGGGTCAGCCACCCTGACTTCAGGTACTTTCAGATGCGAAGCCCTTACAGTCGGTGCCCCGAGGTTGGTGCAGGGCGTCGCGACCTGGGCCTTTGTGAAGGCTGGAGTTGGTACTTCGGATCTCTCGCTCCCTCCCTCTGTACATACACTCGCTTTGGAGGATTCCAGCTTTCCACAGCATCCGCAACCATGTCCAGATGTACCACGCCATGCTCGAGAGAAGCACAGAGTACTACGATACTCAACATCTACACAC